CATTTTAGTTTCAACGAACACAAAAAAACTTTTTTTTTGAATGATAGTTGTAACATTGTGACAATAAAGCCCTTATTGTGACCATTCTTTATCAGTACTACAATTTCATTTGATGTAAAAATATATACCTCTAATAAAATATAGCTGAATGTACTTTGTATAGTTTGCTATGAAAAATAAATAAAAAAAATTCATGTAGAAGCTTTTTGTATAGTACTTCAGTAATTTACAAAAATTATTACTGAAAGTATTCTAATAATCATTATTTTTATAATATAAAATATATTAATTAATTTATTTCGAAAATTATATTATTTATAAATATAATATTTGTATCTTTTGTGTGGTATATGCGAAAGATCGTGTTTTTTTTAACTAATTTTGTATTAGCTAATTCGCATCTACTTATAATATAGTGACATTTTAAATGCATTTAATTTCAGTATATATTTTTAACTTTCCGTAAGTAAGTTATTGTAATCGTTCAAAAATCGCAATCGAAAATGTTTGCACATCTTCACGTTTCGAAGGTTTCTGAACATTTTGAAATACAATAGAAAAAATTTATATGTGAGTATGTGTATTTGGGTTATATTTCGTGTATGAATGATGTAATGAACATTCGATTCCTTTTGATAAGAAGGCGTACTGATTAGTTTTTAACAAATACAAGTCGGAGATACGGAGCAAAGATAGAAACCGAGTTTTCAAGAGAACGAAAAATCCGATTTAAATGAATCAAAAAAGCTTTTGCTTTTTTGGACGACAAGAGAGTTTTTTTTTAAAAAAAAAAACATATTTTTTTTAATTCTCAAAAATTATTATAGAAAATATTCGAATCAAATAAATAATTTTAATTTTGCTATTCAGTTTATGCAATTTCTAACTCCGCTTCATTAAGTTTTGTTCATTCACTTTTCAGGTTAACATATTTAAACGCCATCGTTCAATTTAAGAACACTTTTATTTTGTCTATAAATTCGAATAATAAAAGTTACAGTATTTATAATAATATATTTGAAAGCATTCAATATTCTTATTTCATTATAGTACGGGAAGTTCCAGTAATTTGCCTTAAGGCACGATACACCACTAGTTTTAGTGATTTAATTAATATAGTAAAACTAATAATGTCTAAAAATTTCAAACTCCGTGAATTTATACGTATATAACTATAAAATAAATATTTTCGCATTCAGAATTTCTTAAGAATCGTTTCGGCGCATCGCGCACTGTTTTGCGTCCGAACGAACTCTATGCAATTGCAGGGTACTATTAACATTACGCGCGGGTGTACTGGCTCTGTTTTTTTCAATTTTCCAATGTGTTCCACTAAATTGATTTGAACAATATTTGCAGTACTCAAAGAAAAAACAATAGGCTTTCGAATAACGCTAATTAGAAAGTGGTCCAAATAAATGCACTACCCAAAATAATCAATTAAAAAATTATTTTGTCTTTTTCAGCTAATAGTAAACGATTTTTTGGAATCGATTGTTCTACATAATGTGGTCTGAGTCAATGTGAGTAGAATCACGTAAAAATTTTTTCGATATCTTTTATGGTTACGCCAAAAAGTGAGTTTGAAAGAAGGGGCCACTTTGGCATATTTTCAATGATATCTCGGCCATAAGATGAGGTACAAAGTTGAAAATTGGTATATCGGTTTTTATCAAATAGACCTATAAAATGGCGTATAAATTATTTAAATACCAGGGTGGGGCCGATTCTGTATGGCAATGCGCCCATACCCTTTCTATCACAATGTTGAAAAAATTACCCGATAAAGCTACCAGAATGATTACAATAATTTTCAACTCAATACTGAGGCTAAAAACTTTTTCCCAGGCATAGAAAATAGCAAAAATCATTTTTATTACTAAACCAGGAAAGGACCCTCATCTCGTTTCAACTTACAGGCCGATCAGTTTGCTGCCTTGCATTTCAAAACTTTTTGAAAAACTGATCCTTTGGCGAATCAAAGATATCCTGCAGGATCAGGATCTAATTCCAAACCATCAATTCGGGTTCCGCGACCAACATTCTACTAGAGAGCAAGTTCATAGGATTGTAAACACAATCAACAACGCATTCCATAGAAAAGAGTATTGTTCTGCAGCCTTCTTAGATCTCACGAAGGCATTTGACAAAATCTGGTACACAGGCCTAATGTACAAAGTAAAAAGATGTCTTCCAGATACTTTATTTCAACTATGCAACACTATGCAATCAAACATGTCCTTCAGTTGAACTTAACAATACAATGATTCCTCCCAAAGAGTCGGTGAAATACATTGGCATCCACCTGGATAGGAAATTAAATTGGAAACAACTTTCTACTGGCTACTAAACAAAAATTCTGAACTCTGTTTACAATAAACTGTTGATATATAAGGTGGTACTCAAGCCCATATGGACCTACGGTCTCCAACTTTGGGGTACAGCAAAAAAAAGCAATCTGAACATCATCCAAAGTGCTCAAAACAAAATCCTGAGGCAAATATTAAACGGTCCTCGCTACACCCCTTTATGGATTATCCATCAAGACACAGGCTTGCTCAGACAGTGGTTGCTTCTAAAGATAAAAATAGGATTGACGTACATCTCAACGAATTGGCCAGCAGAATTTACCTGGATAGTCAGCCCACCAGATTGAAAAGAAAGTTGCCACAAGACCTTATCTAGTCCAGTTAAATCTAATTACTATTCTTTTTTATGTGTTATTTGATTGTTTGTTTTTTCTTATAGTTTTATTTTTTTGTATTTCTTTTCTTTTTATCTTATTATTATTATTATTTCTTATTATTATTAACATGTGTTATATATACCTAGTAGACACGCCGCTGGGTGTTGCTACTATCTTCTTGTTTATATTATATGATAATTATTGTTAGCAATCTCTGCTTAATGTTAATGAATATGTAAACAAATTGCAGAATAAATTAAATTAAAAAAAATCGATGTGTACTCTTCGGCTGCTACACAAGAACGCTTGTAGAAGGTTAAAAAGAAATTATTAACTACCCGAAGGAGAAGTTTATGTTTTCATCAATAAATCCGATGTATATGTGTGTGTATAAATTTAAAAGCCATTCGATGGGGGCTAGCGTTTATCGTTGTTTTGGTATTTGTCAAAATTAGACCTTTCATCGACATTTGCTCAAAAACGCCTTAACCGATTTCAGAAATTTAAAAACCATTTGATGTGTCTCAATGAGAATTATCGCTTTTCAGTTTTGTGCGACGATCGGCCGAGCCGTTCCTTTGTAATTTGAAAAAAAGTGTTAAATTTTTAGTCCACATTTAAGCTCATACTACCGAATTGATTTATAAAAATCAAAAACTGTTCGAAAGATATTAGTTGGGAATGATACTGATTAGTTTTAGGTGAAAATCTACCGAGCCGTTTTCTTGTAATTTGTTGAAAAAAAAATTGAGCCGATTTTTATGAAACTTTTTTTGATGATATATATCATGGTCTTACACAACTTATTGAAATATTATGGCCTTACAACAAGTAGTTTAATTTTAAAAAATTATCAAAGTTTGAGAAAATAAGTAGCTTATTTTGACCTTTGTTAAAAGTCTTAATGAACATACTAAACCATTAAAGTCCTACGGAAACTGGTTCAATTATAAATATTATTGATTTTTGAAAATTTGCATTTAGAAAATACTCGGAGTTAACGTGTTCGTTCGCTTTCAATTATGTGTAATAAATCCACTCTATTTTTACTACTTTTTATTGATCAAGTCGATTAATTACACATATCGGGAAGTTCATGTAACTTGCCTCAAGGAAAAATACCAATACAAACTAGTTTATTATATAAATAAATATATAATAATAGACAGTTTGTTTAAAGACAACCACATTATTTAAAAAAAAAACTAAACAACATGTATTTAATTACGTGGGGTAGAATTACTATCCTTCCACAATCTGTACGATCCTGTTCTTATATTACTTTTTCGAATTGTTAAAAAAAGACGCTTTCTCGAATTGTTAAAAAAGAGTTCTACTTTACAAATACCTGAAAAATGTGCGTCACCAATATATCGAGAATTGCCATAACGCAAAAGATTTAACCCTTCGTCGGTCGGATATTTACCCAGTAAACCACTAAACGTAACAAAGCCATGAACGTTACGTAACGCTGCCACGTTCGCACGAAGCAGGTACGTAACCTGGGAGGCACACAGAAGTATCTATTTCGCGGGCATGAACGTAACGGCTGTTTCGTTGCACACTAAAACACTGCGGTTGCATTTTTGCTACGTATCAAAGTTGAATAAAAAAGCGTGTAGGTGTCTTTTATGTTACATAATTATTTAATTAAATTTCCTGCAAATATAAAATCAATTTCGGATATTTAGTAATTTTATTAAATAATATCATTTATATACAAAATTTACATATTACATAGTTGCAACATTGGAAAACTAAAATTTGATAGTCCATAAAATGTTAACCTATAAAAATATTTATTTATTCATAATATGTATTATGTTTAACTCTCTTGGCAACTTCAGTTAAATCAGATTTGGCAAAGTTAAGTCTTGCGTTAAATATGCTCAACTCACTTGCATCTGTTAATGTATCTGAAATAGAACGAAACATCTTAGTAACATTGTAAACAAATTTTTAATTGAAAATATTGTGAACAAATTAGTCATTTGTGAACATTACCTCTAAACATACTCCTTATTTGAAGTTGATGACTATGTAGTTCTTACAATCATATGACAGAGATAATTATTCGATGAACACACTTAATAATTTTCTTGCATTGATTTTATCCTCTTAATTTTTAAGACGTGAATTTTCTAAAAGTAAAACATTACATATTAGTACTAAATCATATTAGTTAAAATTCTCTTCATGTAGAACCTTAATATACCAATTCTGTAACACAAGATCATCAGACTCGAAATACTCAACAATTCATGTTCTCTTCAACACTTAATCCATATAATGTGTGATATCCTGTGTATTCTTTGTTTTCCTTCTCGCATGCTTTTAAGTCTTGCTTGTTTCTTTGGTGACAATTTATCTTCTTGATTAGAGCAAATTTCCCTAGTTTGAAATCCATTTTGACATAACCCATAAGGGTTATGAGCAGTCTTTCTCTACAATTGAAAAGCAATTTATATCAGTTTTTGCTTAACTGAATAGTTCTGATGGAATTATAAAGAATATGTATAATACCATATATATTACACTTATCTACCTATAATATTCATATCATATCACTGAATTGAGGTTATGTGATTTTTGACTGGTCTGTCAGAAATTTCAATAAATATGTGATAAATCAATTATCACAATACATAAACAGAATTTGCATTGAACACGACCTATATACTGAAAATAACTAATTAATCATTAATATAATAATATGTAAATTTAAAAAAAAATCCGCACAATTATACTCACCTCTGGCGTTTTCGTATTAAATATATCACTTTCCTAAAAGTAAAACATTACAAATTAGTACTAAATCATATTAGTTAAAGTTCTCTTTGTGTAAAACATTAATATACCTATTCTGTAATACAAGATCATTACTTAAGAAATACTCAACAATTCATTTTCTTTTCAACACTTAATCGATATGTGTTCTTATTTATTGATATGTGTTCTTATTTTTCTTCTTGCATGTTTTGAAGCCTTGCTTGTTTTTTTGGTGACAAAGGATTAATAATTTCTAATATTTTATCTAACTTTGTATTTATCTTCTCTATTGGAGCAAATTTCCCTAGTTTGAAATCCATTTTCGTAATAACTTACTTCTCTTTATTCATATATCACTGAATTGAGGTTATATTTCTGACTGGTGCGTTAGAAATTTCAATATTGCATGATAAATCAATTATCACAACACATAAACAGACTTTGCATTGAAGACGGCCTATATACTGCAAATGACTAAACATTATTATAATAATTTATAAATTAAAATATGTTTCAGTACAATTAGACTCACCTTATTTGCCGGTTTCATATTAAATACTTTTGCAGCTGACTGTTTAACTAATTTCTACAACTGATTTCGCACTAAATATAAAAGCAATTAATAAATAACGTTTCAATAATTGAAATATCTTGCATTTCAAACATACACGATAAAATACTCAATTCTGCGTCCACGATGCACTAACCGAGTTAACCTATATTTAATTTGACGTTTCGCTCATAAAACACTTCACGGCTATTTCAAAGGCTAATCTATGTGACAATGCAACGTACCGCGCCACGTACCGACAGAAACGCGTCGACGGTGGTTAAAGATCACAACTATACGTAACAGCATCGTTTTTTTGACTTAACATCAGTTTCGAAACGAAAGTTACAAAATGAGTTACGTAGATTTAACTTCTGTGGTTTACTGGGTATTTACCTTCGAACGGTCGGAGTGGTCTGACTTGTACCACCATTCATTTTACATGCATTTATATGGGACAATGAGTTTTTGGTGTCTTATAATTAACGATTATTAATAGTAAATATTTATAGTTTTGATTTTTTCTTTTTCTTACCGTCTTTTGCATGTGTTGAGCTTGCCTTTAATAAAAATATCTCAATAAATAAATCTGGGAATATAAAAAAAATCGTTGCTTTTTTCGTAAATTTTTCTATTTTATTTCAATGAAAAACAATATTTATTTTTCTAGCGCGCTTCGAAAACAAACATAGAAACATAAAATGGGATTGCGGCATTTTACGGAGAAAAATCGATTTTTGCGTTTAGTCTTTTCGTTTTCGGCATGAAAACAGATTTCACAATGCTCTTTCCTTTCAAGTGTTGTCGTGCCGCTTTCCTCTGCAACATATATATGATGAATCTGAAATAATATAAAGAAACATAAAAAATAAATAAAATGCGAGATAGATAAAAGAAAAAAGCGCCGCCTTCAAAATGAATGTGATATTCAAATAAAAACGAAATGTGGTGCATCGCCTTTGAAATGAGATGTAAAACTCAAAGTGAAAATATAATTTCAATTGAACTGCATACTTACGGCTGCAGGTTTGCCAAAAAAAGTTTCGAAAGCAGTACGGACAGAAAAATTGTTGTTAAGTTGATAATGTGCGCATTATCCATCCGATTTTCAATGTTTGCGATGACTAATAAGTTTGATAGGCTTTCAAGGAACTCTCGTCTCGCATCTCTTGTATTGAGTTGGTCGTTTGCACGTAAAATGGGAAATCATCTCATCCATGCAGTCCACACCAGCTTTGTTTTTATTGTAATAGAGAATTGCTTCTGGTTTTTTCAATTCACCTTGAAAAGCTTTTGTGTAATGAACAATGATAGAAGATACACTGTCTTATTTTTCTTCAGTACATAGCTATAAATTGAAATTGTTTTCGTTGAATCCAATTTTTTTTTGCATTTCATTTTTGCAACACATCGCTTGTTTGCACGAATTGTACTAACGAACGCGATTCCATTGGTTTGGAGTTTTTTACTCCTTCTAGGGTGGTAAAAAAGTTATCGGCAATCATTGTGCGGCCGGTATTATCATGCCGACCGGCTAATTTCAACAACACCTTCTTTCCCTGGTTTTCATCTCGCATCTCACCCTTTTGTTTGTAAATTTTGTTCGACCTCTGTACAGGAAAAGTTTTTTTTTATTTATTTTCTTATAAATTACAATCTGTCTAAATAAAAAGACATTGAGTAATTAGTTTGGCAAATAACATTAAATTATAAAAGGAAAACCCAGTGGTTTACCTTTTACTAGTATACTAATTTATATTATAATTTTGGTATAATAAAGAAAAAAAAGAAACTCAAATATACATACAATTATAAACAAAGTAAAAAATAAAACAAAACACACACCTATTTTAAATAATATTGTAGAACAACTTATTACTGATTAATATGTTAGATTTATTAATTGTATTCTTTTTAATCTTATATTGTGTGTGGAATTGTAGAGACTTGCAATCAGTTCGTTTGGATGGTGGTCAACTTTAGTCTTGAAATTACGGGCACTCTTTCTAATTTCTTCACTGATTGTCAGTGTATCCGTGTCTTGGTGAATAAGCCATGTCGGTACATACCTTGGCGCGGATATTGCCTGTCTGAGTATTTTATTTTGAAATCGTTGCATTATTTGTAAGTTACTGACTTTAGCAGAACCCCATAGATGGATTCCATACATCCAAACTGGTTTGAGAATAACTTGTATAATAAAATTTTATTGTACATCGACAGTTTTGATCTACTACTGAGGAGCCAATACATCGACCTTCGAAGGTGTTCTAGATGTTCACGCTTTTTTTGATTATGGATTTTCCAGTTCAATTTCTTGTCCAGATACATACCCAAATACCTTACGTGATCTTGGCTTGGAATTTGTTCGTTATAAATTGCTACAGGTGGGCATGTATCTTTCCTAAGAGTAAACGTAATGTGAACAGATTTTGAATTATTAATTGTGAATCTCCATAAAGTAAACCATTTTTCAATTATATCAAGGTGTGACTGCAGCTGCGTTGAAACCGTAAGAGGATTTTGATACCGGATTATAATGCATGTGTCATCCGCGAATAGAGCCAGATTAGTATTGGTGAATTGAGGGAAGTCAGCAGTGTATAGTAAAAACAGCATCCCACTTCCTTGTGGAACTCCCGCGTTCACTTCTCTTAATTCCGACTGCGTGCCACTTATATCAACATAAAAGTTTCGTTCGCAAAGATATGATTGTAGTAGTGAGTAAGTTGAATAAGGTAGATTTATTTTAATTTTAAAAGACCTTTGTGCCAGACTTTGTCAAACGCCTGAGACACGTCAAGAAATACTGCAGAACAGTACTCCTTACAGTATAAGGCAGCATTGATGATGTTAACAACTCGATGAACTTGCTGTAAGGTCGAATGCTTTGCCCGAAAACCAAATTGATAATTTGGAATTATATCATTGGAAATTATATGATCATTTATTCGACTCAAAAGCAATTTTTCGAAAATTTTTGATATAATCGGCAATAAACTAATAGGTCGATATGATGGTGCTAGGTGTTGGTCTATTCCAGGCTTCAGTATTAGTATGATTTTTGCAATTTTCCATGCTGTAGGAAACTTGCGAATCCTCAGTATTGTATTAAAGACGATGGTAATAAATCTGAATGCAATGACGGGCGATTCTTTTAGCATTTTCATTGATACTTTGTCATGGCCAGGAGATTTACCAGTTTTGGCATTGTTGATTTGACGTTTTACTTCTGATAATGAAATTTTTATAATTGAATCTTCGTTTCGAGGTTCATTCCGTAGATACTGGTGGATAAAATATTCAGCATCGTCCGTACAACTTTGAGGAGCTGGATGAAAAGTTTTAAATAGATGATCCGCAAAGATTTGTGATTTATCTATTGGGTTTCTAGCCCAGGATTGATCTGATTTCAGTGGCGGAACTAGGCCACCCGGGGCCCGTGGCAAATTTTTTTGATGGGGCCCCCCATCAGTAAAATCAAGTGGTTTTAATTTAATTTAAATAAACTCGAAATTTTTCAACGTGTTGATTTAAATATATATATATATATATCTTCTTCTATATATATAAAAATAAGTCGGGTTTTCCTTCCTGACGAAATAACTCCAGAACGCACGAACCGATTTCGACAATTTTGCATTCGTTGGAAAGGTCTCGGGCTCCGCAAGGTTTATAGCTAAGAAAATTAGTTATGCATGGCATCGTGCCTTAATGCAAGCTGCTGGAACTTCACGCACTGTAATTAAAAATTCGAGTAATAAAAATAATTAATAACTGTTTTAAATAATTTCAAATAGATTATCTTCTATATATATAAAATAAGTCGGGTTTTCCTTCCTGACGAAATAACTCCAGAACGCACGAACCGATTTCGACAATTTTGCATTCGTTGGAAAGGTCTCGGGCTCCGCAAGGTTTATAGCTAAGAAAATTAGTTGTGCATCGCATCGTGCCTTAATGCAAGCTGCTGGAACTTCACGCACCGTAATTAAAAATTCAAGTAATGACATTAGTGAGAATTATCAGAATTATGCTTGGTTAAGTCAACGAGCAATTCTTGCCGCAAAGAATAATGATGTACACGCCCTGAATTTCACCATTCAATCAAAAATTGCTGGCGATTTGGTGACATACCAATGATTCTGACTGGTCTTCCGTTTGACTTCAAACGATTGCAATATCCAGTTCGCCTTGCGTTCGCAATAACATGTCGCAAGGCCAATCGCTTAGTGTTTGCGGGATAAATTTCAAATAGATTATTTAGAAAATCATTGTTTTTCACATGGGCAGTTATACGTTGCCTGTTTACGAGTTGGAAAACCATCCGCTTTGTTTGTGTTAACGTCAGACCAAAAAACAAAAAATGTGGTTCACCAAAGATCACTTCCATGAACTTTTTTTTTACTTAGAGAAGTTCAACTAAAAAACACTTCATTTTTGTAATCAAAATAAATTCGTTACTGTTGTATAATAAAATCAATTTTTTCCTTTTAAAATATAAAACAAACAAAAAATTTCTTCATCTTTCTCACAAAACCATCTGGTGGCGAAACGGAGTTCGTCGGGTTTGCTAGTATATATATATATATATATATATATATATGTATATATATATATATATATATATATATCCACGATTTGTAATGAATTGTATTAAAAATGAGTAAATCTACTTCGACTTATTCATATTTTATGGTTTTAAATTGAGAAATTATTTAAACTGTATGTATACAAAAATTTAAAAAAAAATTAAAATGTTAA